AGGCGTCGGCTCCCAGGGGAAGCCGCACTTCTTGAGGCAGCAGCGGCCCCTGGTGGCCACGCCCGACCGCAGGGCGCAGGTCAGCGCGGAGCCCGCCGCGGGGAGGCTGCCCCTCTGCAGGCGGCCAGAGACGGAAGGGAACAGCTGCACCCCACCTCCTCTCCCCGAACGGCCTCGTCCACGCCCCTGGGCCCCCTTCTCCGCCCGCTGGTGCATCATCCTTCTAAGTGGCAGCCCCGCCTCGCACGTCTCCGCGGGCCCCCGCGCCCCCTCCGTCCCCACCTGTCACTCTTCCCGGAACTGACATTCCAAGTATTCCCACGACTCTCCCCTCCTCTGCACTCCCGGCCTCCCCACCCGTCACATCCAGCCTTGGCGGTGGCCACAGCCTCCTGACTGGCCGTTCTCTCTCACCGCACCCCACCCCACCTCCACCCCCCGCAGTGGGTTTCCTAAAACGCAGGTCTGGCCAGATCGCCCTGCCACTGACTTAAAACCCTCTCGCGGCCTTGAGGGCAAAGGCCCAGATTTAACCATACCGCCTCTTTGCCCACCTGTCCACGGATGACGCTCTGTGGCCCCCGTCCCTGTCCTCCAATAGGCCCACACCCCCCAGGATGGGCTCCATACTAGTCCTTGGTGATTCCTTTCCAAGGTGCACCTGGCTTCAATATGTGCTTCATAAGTATTGTTTTAATAAATAAAACCAACACCCAGAGGTGCACTGACGCGTCCACGTTGCCTAAAGGGACAGGGCTCTTTGTTCAGTGCTCTTCCCACCCCGCCCGCTGTCCCTCGGCCTCTTTGCCAGGACAGAGGCCCGGGAGGCTGCGAGCCCTGCTGCGGGGGAGACAGCCAGGCCCGCCCCACCACCCCCTGGCTGGGAAAAGCGCGGGGACACGGGGAGAAAAGGAGGGGGCCGACTTGGGGACAGATGCCCCAGCCTCTGCATTATGAGGCGAAGAAGGTGGGAAGTAAGAAAGATGAGGCGGGCTGAGATCTCCCTGACCACCTTCATAACACCCTGTCCTAGCTCCCTCTCCTGTCCCTTAAGGCCATTCTAGCAGACCCCTGCTGAGCTCCTCTCTCCTCTGTAGGAGGCGGGAAACAGGGCCGAGGGCCGCTTACCCGGTGCTGTGGTCCCTGAGGACCGAGTCCTCTCGGCACACAAAACCTTCCTTGTCGCTCCCTGTGGCCCCTCTGTTCCCTGCCGTCCCTCCCCAGAGTCAGTGTCCCTTATTCAGTAAGGTCCAGAGGACAGAGGAGCAAGCCCCGTGCCCAGGAGACCCCACCCCTGAGGAGCTGACCCCTGGGGGGCCCACACCCACTCACCTTGGTGGCGTCACTCTTCTCTGAGCAGAGGGCCAGGAAGCCTCAGGCTGCCCCCCAGGGTGGACCTGCACCCCAGGGCGCCTGCACGCAGGCTCCTCTCACCCCAGGGCGTCTGCACAGAGGCTCCTCCCACCCCAGGGCACCTGCAAGCAGGCTGCTCCCACCCCAGGGCACCTGCACACAGGCTCCTCCCACCCCAGGGCGTCTGCACAGAGGCTCCTCCCACCCCAGGGCACCTGCACACAGGCTCCTCCAACTCAGGCTGCCTTCACCCACGTAAACAAGGCACAGAGTCCTTCCGGGCGGCTCTGGAAGAACTCTTCAGGGTGTGTGCGGTGCTCAGAGGCTGAGAGGCTGTCGCTTTTCGCTTTGGAGCTCAGCTGGGACACGACTAGATTCAGAAAGTCTTCATCAAACATTCCTCCAAGTTCTCTTGCTGTTCAATCTTCTTTCTCCGGGATCAGTTCCAGCCTATCAAGATCTGTCTTAAAGTATCCGGAGGGGCACCTGGGTGGCTCAGTCAGTTGAGCCTCCGTCTTCGGCTCAGGTCATGATGTCATCGTTTGTGAGTTCAAGCCCCACGTCGGGCTTTCTGCTGTCATCGCAGAGCCCTCTTGGATCCTCTGTCCCCCTCTCTCTGCACCTCCCCTGCTTGTGCTCTCTGTCTCCAAAATAAATAAAAACATTTACAAATAACATAAAATACAGTACCCAGCACTATACTCCAGGTTTGGGGGCCCTGGGGGCGTCAGCACCTCTGACCTGGACACCTCGCATCCATCAATCACTTGTGTGGGCAGCCACCTTACAGTGCTGGGTCATGACAAACTGTGGTCTGCTAAAACCCTCAGGCTGTCTGCACTGTGCACACTCCTTACTGTTCCTTTTTTTTTTTTAATTATGTTTTATTTTATATTTGAGAGAGAGAAAGAGAGCGAGCGAGCACTGGAGCAGTGGGAGGGGCACAGAGAGAGGGAGACACAGAATCTGAAGCAGCTCCAGGCTTCAGGCTGTCAGCACAGAGCCCGACGCGGGGCTCGAATTCACAAGCTGTGAGATCATGACCTGAGCCAAAGTCAGATGCTTAAGTGACTGAGCCACCCAGGCGCCCCCCCACCCCCTTACTGTTCCTTCCTTACACTGTTGACTTAGAAATCAAAAAACAGAATTTTACATTTACCCCTGTTAAATGTCACCCGGTTCATTTTTTTTTTCCGTTCTGTCAAAACCTTCCAGCTCTTGCATAACCTGTAGACAAATACAGCTTCTCTGCTTTCATCCTGGTCTTTAACAAAAATGTGTGACAGTCAAGACCAAGGACAGAGCTCTGAGCGGCGGCCCACGGAGACCTCCCCAGCTTTCGGAGGTCCCTGGGGATGGCCACGGAACTGTGTGCCTACCCACCGTGGTATCCTGTGGCCCACGTGTCCTGGGCCGGGGAGAGAGGAAGTGCGGCTGAAGGCCTTTCAAAAATCCGGGTAATCTTGGGGCGCCTGGGTGGCTTAGTCGGTTAAGCGTCTGACTTTCGCGTAGGTCATGATCTCGCGGTTTGTGGGTTCGGGCCCCGCGTCGGGCTCTGTGCTGACTGCCAGCTCAGGGCCTGGAGCCTGTTTCAGAGTCTGTGACTCCCTCTCTCTCTGACCCTCCCCTGCTCACGCTGTCTCTCTCTCTCTCTCCTAGAAATAAATTAAAAAAAAAATTAAAAAAAAAAAATCCGGGTAATCCAATGCCCCCCCAGGGGGAGGACAGGAGGCCAGGTGGCTCTGAGTACCTGCTGGCCTCCATGAAGGGCCTTCCTGTCAGCTTCTCATTGCTTCAGGTATCGTTGTCTCTTTAGAATCTGCTGAGCGTTGATGTGGCTCCGCCAGGCTGTGCCGGCTGGAACCCGCCTCCTCCTGCCTTGGGAAATTCAGTACCACGCTCCTTCTCCAGCATTCTAGAGCATGTCTGCTCCCCACGATCCCCACACTCACCCAGAGTGTGTCTGGGAGAGTTTGCTCTCAGAGTAACGGCTTTCATGGTGATAGTCTTGTTTGATCTTCGGAGAACAAACTTATGGCCATGGATACACAGCAACCTCCTTTGCCAACCAGGTAAACTGAGGGTCACTTAGAGAGGTTATGACTTGCTCAAGCTCCTTTAGCCAGAAAGTACAAAAGTCAGACCCGATGCTCTCTGCACGAGACACAGTGCCAGATGTCTCCCCTGTGGGTGACCGTGCCAGGGGCCGTCCACCCCGGTGCCACCCCGTCCCTCCAGGGAGCCCCATCCAGGACCCCAGGGGATCACGAGTATGCTGCTCTCTCTCCCCACATCTGAAAGGGGACAGACCGAAAGTTAGCTCTGCTGGACACAGCTCTTGGGAGCCCCCATCGCAAGCCAGATGGCCCGCTTTGCCAGGTCACGTGAGGGTGGAGAGGCCTCAGCCTCGGTCGGCACGGACGCTCTGGGTTCCCCTATTCCACACCCCTCCCGGGGCTCCATTCCACATGCTGGCAGTGAATTCCAAAGCCCAGTTGGCCTGGGGACAGGGGTGAGGGTATTGCTGGGATGGCCTTCTGGTCACTGACCCCCGCGCAGAAGCCGTCTCCATTCTCCCTGCTTCCCCCGCTCTCTGGCTCCTCCAGGGCGGGACAGGGTGCTGCCACAGAAGGTGCTGGGGTCGCACTGCGCAGCCTAAGCTGGATTCACGTGAGCAGACGTTCCTTCCGCAAAGATCCCCGAGTCTCCCCTTTTGGCCCTGCCTCCCCTTTACTCTACGTACTGCGCATCTTCCCTGTCCCTCCTAGCCAGCTCCAGGACCCCCCCCCAGAAGGCCGGCCCAACTGCCCCCACCCCCGGGAGCTCTCCGCTCCCAGAACTGCAGAACCCCCAAAGGGAAGTTTTGAGGATTCAGAGAGTGTCACTAACACGTTAGAAGGCTCAGGAAACGGGCTCCTTGTGATAAAGAGGGGCCGCTTCCAGGCCTGATCTGTTCGCCACCAGGGGGCACCCTCTGCCCAGAAACCCCCTGATACCGAGGGCAGGACGGGGTGCGCTGTCCGGAGCTCGGGGGTCGGGGGTCGGGCCTCCGCCCACCTGAGAAGTGGGGCTGCGAACCTCAGGTCACCCGGAAGAGCGGCAGGAAGGCCGGAGGTGAGTAACGGGGTGCGCACCCTTTCGCCGCACGCCTCCCCGTTTCCCGGGGTGTGCACACGTGCCGGGCAGTGTCCCTCTGTCCTCTGTCTGCATTTCAGGAGGGAGAAGAGCACTTGCTATCTGCAAACAGGGACGTCCGGCAGCCCCGTGAGACTTCCATCAACGCTCCCATTGTATGGATGAAGAAACTGAGCCTCAGAGGAGCGCGCGTCGCAGTACCCCCCTCGAGGCGCCCCGGGGCCCCGCGCCTCCCTTCCACAGGCCCAGTCCCGCGCCCAGTCTGCTTTTATGGCGGTCATGACCTTGCTCGCGGCCTCCTCTCTCAGAGGCCCACGCTGGGATCGGACTCCCCAGGCCCGCTTTTCCCTGGGCTCCAGCACGGCGGGGCGGGGCGCGGGGGCCCGGGCCGCCCCGCTATCCCGAACTCCAGGGGTTAAGGCCCGGGTCCCGCCCCTTTTCCCGCCAGCCTGGCGGGAGTATGAATAGCCTCGTTCCCACTGCGGACGTTCAGTCGCTGGCTGCTCCTCGCCCCGCCCCGTCATTGTCCCCGTCGGTCTCCGTTTCCCTCCCGTCCGTCCTCAGCGCTTTGAGAGTCGCTGGCCTCCCCCGCTGCCCCGCGCCTCTCCGCCTTCGGTGGGCCAGCCTCGCGAGCAAGATGGAGGGCTGCCTGGGGGAGGAATCTTCTCAGATGTGGGAGCTCAACCGGCGCCTGGAGGCCTATCTGGCGCGGGTCAAGGCGCTAGAGGAGCAGAACGAGCTGCTCGGCGCGGAGCTCGGCGGCCTCCGGGCGCAGAACGGGGACGCCTCGTGGAGGGCCCGTGCCGACGACGAGCTGGCGGCCCTGCGGGCCCTCGTCGACCAGCGCTGGCGCGAGAAGCACGCGGCCGAGGTGGCGCGCGACAACCTGGCGGAGGAGGTGGAGGGCGTGGCGGCCCGGTGCCAGCAGCAGCGGCTGGCGCGGGAGCGGGCGGCGGCCGAGGCGGCCCGCAGCCGGCGCGCGGCGGAGGCCGAGCGGGGCGCCCGGGCGCGGCTGAGCTCGCGGGCGGCCGAGCTGGAGCGCGAGCTGGAGGCCGCGCGCGCGGCGCACGAGGAGGAGCGCGCCGCCCTGAGCGCGCGGCCGCGCGCCCCCCGCCGCCCCGCCGCGCCCCGCGGGCCCCCCGCGCCGGCGCCCGAGCTGGCGGAGCTGGCGCGGCGGCTGGGGGCGGCGTGGCGCGGCGCGGTGCGCGGCTACCAGGAGCGCGTGGCGCGCATGGAGGCGTCGCTGGGCCAGGCCCGCGAGCGCTTGGGGCGCGCCGTGCAGGGCGCCCGCGACGGCCGCCTGGAGCTGCAGCAGCTGCAGGCGGAGCGCGGCGGCCTCCGGGAGCGCCGGGCGGCGCTGGAGCAGAGGCTGGAGGGCCGCTGGCAGGAGCGGCTGCGGGCCACCGAGCAGTTCCAGGTGACCGGGGGGCGCGGGCGGGACGGGGCGTCGGGGCGGGCCCCGCGGGGCCCAGGGCACGGCACCGGACGCGGGGGGTGGAGGTGCTGCCGAGTCGGGGCCCGCTGCCCGGAAAAGCCGTCCTGGGGCCAGAGGCCCTTGACTTTCCCAACTTTGTCTGGAGGAGGGAGGGCGCGGCGGGGGCTCGGGGCCCTGCCAAAGCACGGCCCCCGGGAGGGCAGCGGGGCGCCGGAGCCGCGGCCGCCTCCTCACTGTCTGGACGGCCCCCGGCGTCCCCCTGGGCTCTGCTGTCGCTCAGAAGATGCGCAGGACACCGCTACCTCCCATCCCCCGCGCCCCCGCAGCGCGGAGTCTGCCGCTCTGGCCGCCGCGCTCCTCCTCCCTCTGCCGGGGGCGGGGGGCGGGGGGGGACGGTCGGGGGCCCTGGATGTGCAACCACAGCCCCGCTCCCGAGTCTAGGCTTCGCAGCTCCCCTAGCACATTCCAGAGGCCTGGGGACAGCTGCTCCCCCTCACACTGCGCAGATGGGACCAGCAGCTGAGAAAATAGCCTCCCGCCTGGGCCAGACAGAGGTCTCCCCGCCACGGCCACCCCCCACCCCCAGGAGAAAGATTCCAGAACATGTGGGAAGCGGAGGGGGTGGGGGCCTGGTGTGGGGACCAGGAGACAGTGATTGGGACCCGGGCGTTTGGCCTCCAGCCCTCCGGGCTCCAGGCCTTTTGATTAATCGTTTTTCCTTCTGCTTCTACTTTTCCCCCCTCTCTTCCCCTCTGTAACCCATCTCCTCTCCTCCCTCACCTCCCCCTTCCTGTGGGAGCTGAATTCTGAGCGGCACTTGTCACCATTCACTCAACATCCTTGGAGGAGGAGCCAGGAGCCTGAGGGCGAAGAGAGGGGCCGAGGGGCCCCTGTCCTCTCTGGGAAGGGGTGCGGGGGAGGGGTCGAGGGGCCCCTGTCCTCCTCTCTGGGAAGGGGTGCGGGGG